CAACAAGGTATGGTACTTCGGCTTGTGTATATGCTTCCCGATGCGTGTCCAGGATGGCGAGACGCCTCTGGTGCTCGCGATCAAGCTGCGTCATCGCCGGTTCCCACAGCAAATTTACAACGCCTCTCATCAAATCGCCGACGATGTACTACGTCATGATGAAGTCGTGCACTTGAACGATACTAGGTGCCTGAGACGGCGATCCAAGTCGATACAAGAGGCCTCCTCGGCGACGGCGGCTTTGGCTACGTGCACAAAGGCTTGTACAAGAACGAGCGCGTCGCGGTCAAGTCGGCTAAATACGCGGCCGGCGCGGCGGAGCTTCACGCCGAAATCAACGTCATGCAAACGTAGGATGCTTCTTCATCTTTTTCAATCTGAACCTCAATTTTGGATGGTACTAGGTGCAACTCGCCGTATTTGCTGCAGCTCAAGGCGGTCTCGGGGCAGCACAGTGACAACCCCAAGCTCGTGCTCGAGTACATGGACGGCGGCAACCTCCGCCAGTACCTCGACAAGAAGCGCAAGGGCGAGTCCGTTCCGTTCGACTACTCGACGCTCGATATTGCGTGGGTCATTGCCAACGCTTTGGCCGACCTCCACCGGAATGGCTTTATGCACCGCGACCTCAAGAGCCTTAACGTGCTTTTGAGCTCCTCCAACTACATCAAGGTGGCCGACTTTGGCCTCACAAAGGAGTTCAACCTCGACATGACGACGTTTGTGGGGACGCCGGCGTGGATCGCACCCGAAGTCTTTGCATCGGGAACCACGTACGACTATGCGGCCGACATTTACTCGTTTGGCGTCATTTTGACCGAGCTCGAGACACTCCAGGTGCCGTATGCAGGCATGAACCTCTTTGCGATCGTCGACGGCGTCCGCAGTGGCGAGCTGCGTCCGTCGGTGAGCTCCAAGTGTGCGCCGTGGTACAAGGCGCTGGTCGACGACTGCTTGTCGTTTGATCCCAAGCAGCGTCCGATGGCGCAGACGATCATCGACCGTTTGTTGCTGCAAGAAAAGGCTCTCGCGAATCGAGAGCCGGTCACCGAGCCCGAGACCAAGACCGAGCGTCTGGTGACGCTGCCGCAACTGACGAAGGGCATGAGCAGCAGCTCGTCCACGTCGGTACGATGCATCCATTTCGTATTGAGAGTACTGGCCTAGTTACCCTTTGGATCTAGTCGATGTCGTCGTCCTGGTCGTCGGGGGCTCTCACCAATCGTCTGCCGTGCCCAGCATGCAAGACGCGCAACGCAGCTTTGAACGAACACTGCAGCAGCTGCAACGAGGCCATGCCGGACGTGTCGGCCAAGCTCACGCTCTTGCTCAAGCGCGCCAAGGTGGCCAACGCCAAGGGCTTCTCGATCAACCTTTGCATCGACTGCGACATTTGCGAAATGACCAACTTGATGACGGCGGCGACGTGCGCCGATTCCGAGTGTGGCGAGGAGCTTCTGGACGACGCGGAGAAGCTGCGCATCCTCTCCCGTCGCTTCGACCTCGCGACCAGCGCAGCGTAAGGTCGTCCATCCATTTTAGCGAACGTGCCTACGTTCTGCGTGCTGGTCATAACTGCATCTTACATTCTCCTCGATGCCATGCAATTCCAAGGCTTTTCAGCTTGGCACCGACAAACGAGGGCAGCTTGAACTACATGAATGCTGTACGAAAAGGGAGTCGTACACACAAAGCTATTGGTCGCGCCAAGGCTCGAGAAGAGTCGCTACAGTGTATTCTCTGTACATCGGCGGGTCCCAACGCTGCCACTCGTCCGTGCACCAAGATAAGGACACGGTTCAGGATCGTGTTGAGCCGATGGGTCACTGGGCACACTCGGCCCGCACCAAGGGTCCATAAGATAGGAGAATTTACCTCTTCGAGAGCGCTGCTCTCGTCCAGCTATGCGTCGTGATGGTCTTTGGTGTGGTACTCGTCCAAAAGATGCTGCCCTACCTCATAGAGCAACCGAGTCGCTGATCGCATGTCAACCAATTTCGTGTTTGACGCCATCGAGCGCCTCGGATCATTCGATGCCGACCAGCTACTAGCGTTGCTCGACGCTTGTCTACACGAGCTGCCAAGGTCGCTGGAAGGGAAGGAGATGTCCTTGCTGGAAGTGACATTTCCAGTGCAAGGACCCGTTGAAATGTGTTTTATACATGTTTAAAATATATCCCGTAGGAATCGATAACCGGCAGGTTCAACGCCTCCAAGATCACAACAAAGAACGTCCGAGGCTGTGGGTACCTCGCATTGTCATCGACAAAATGGACCATACACCACCACAGACGACATGGACATGACTCGCATGCCTCATCACACTTAATTTACAACTATTATATGCGCTTGCACAATGGTGGCTTCGTTTGGAGGGACATGATGAGGTATTTGGTGTTGCTACCGCCGAGAGCTGCGCTCCAACGCTGGCCCAAGCAACCTGCAGATATTGTCTACCATCCGGCATTGTTGAGGGCTTGGGCGCGGAGGGGTTAACAAACATGCGCGATGCCGTGCTGGGCCGTTGCACATCATAGTACTTGAAGGTACCGGAGTCCGACACTGCACCAGCTTCTTCTTGTAGTTGACCGCTACGAGCGCAGCTCCGACGCTGGATTGCCAAATAGTGGTCGACACAACGAGCTATGTTGCCGCTTCGCAATTTGCTGTTTTAAACAGCAGGTGTATAAAACCTGCTGCAATCAATACAGTATCGAATCTCACAGGTGGCTAGCCAGCAAAGATCGTGGAAGATCGCAACGGACGAGAGGAGCGATGGAGTCCAAGCCGCTGCTGCATGGCGGGCGCCGCCTTAGCGCATCGCGACCGCCTATGGCCGGTGGCAGTCGCCATGCGCTATGGGTATCGTGGCTTACGCCATTGCTCTACCTCGGCCAGGCGCGCCCGCTCGAGATGGACGACCTCTGCTCGCTGGACCCGGCCAGCCGCGCCCATGTCATCGCGCTCCACTTCAAGCAGCAGTGGGGCCCCGAGAAGCGCCGCGTCCAGCCGCGCGTCTGGCTCTGCCTCCTCAAGGCGTTTGGTCGGCCCTTCTTCCTCGCTGGCTGCATGAAGCTGCTCGCCGACGTGCTCCAGTTTGTCGTGCCCATGGTCTTGGCCGCGCTGCTGCACTTTATGGCGTCGAGCGCGCCGATGGCGCAAGGCTACATGTACGTAGGAATCCTCTTTGGCGTTGGCCTTGCGCAGTCGGTGTTTCTGCGCCAGTACTTTTGCTACTGCGCCGATGTCGGCCTGTACGTCAAGAGTGCGCTCGTGGCTACAACGTACGACAAGGCGCTGCACCTCGCGCTCTCGGTGCGGCAGCAGACGACGTCCGCTTCGATCCTGCGCCTCGTCACGACCGACGTCCAGAAGCTCCACGATGCACCGCCGTACCTCCACGCGCTGTGGTACGCGACGCTGCAGGTGGATCTTTTCTGACAGATGGAAACTTTTCGTCACGATATGCGTAGATCTGCATGGCCACGTACTTGCTCTACTCGCTTGTTGGCGTCGCTACCTTTGCTGGCATCGCCATCGCTGTCATTATGACGCCGCTCAGCTCCTGCCTCGTATCGAAAGCCACGTCCGCGCACGCCAAGCTGCACACGCTCGCAGCGGCGCGCCAGCACACGTGCGACGAGACCCTGCGCGGTCTCAAGGTCCAATAATCCGCTTGTTGGTAGATATTGTCATGGAATCTCTCTCTAGATGATCAAGATGCAGACGTGGGAAGAGCACTGCCTCGCGCGCCTCACGACGCTGCGCGAAGCCGAGCTGACGCAAATGGCGCTCGTCGGCCGGCTCCGCAGTCTCTCGACCACGCTGTTTGACGCGACGCCGCTTCTCATGGCAATGGCCGTGCTTGGTGTCCACGTCTACCTCACGGGCGCAGCGCTGGATTTGGCGACCGTCCTTCCGTGCTTGCTGCTTCTCCAGATGCTTCGAACGCCAATTGCGCTCTTGCCGCAGGTCTTCTCGACGCTCTCGGAGGCGTCGGCGAGCTTGCGTCGCATCACGGCTTTTCTCATCGAGGTCGACCAGCGACGGCTCACGGTCGGAACGCTGAGTGCGATCGGTGTCCGCTTTGAAGACGCCGATTTGAGCTGGCAGCTGCCGTCGCCGGATGCGTCCGAAGCATCCTTCTCGTCGGCGTCGAATGGCCTCTGGCAGATGCGGGGCATCGACCTCTACGTCCGTGCTGGCGAGCTCTGCGCGATTCTTGGCCCGCGCAACAGTGGCAAGTCGACGCTGCTCAACGCACTCCTCAACGAAGTCCACTGCACGTCGGGCCGCGTCATGGCCCGCGGTGCGTTTGCCTACGTGGCGCAGAAGCCATTTCTACGGCACACCAGTATCAAGGAGAACGTACTCTTTGGCAAGCCGTGGGAAGCGTCGTGGTACGCTTGCGTCATGGACGTCACGGGGTTGACGTCGCTCGTGCTCGACAACAGCGCGCTCTTTCCCGACCATGACGAGACCAACATGGACAGCATTCCGGCGTCGGTCGATCCAAGTCTGCACGTCCGCATCGCACTGGCCCGCGCCGTGTACCAAAACGCCGACGTCTACCTTTTAGATGACATTTTCGCGTCCATGGATACTGCGACACGCGACTACATCTTTGGTCGCTGCCTCCGCGGTCTTCTCCGGCGCAAGTGCATTCTCTGGGTCACCGATGCCTTGGCGTTTGTCCCGCTCTGCGACTCGGTTGTCCTGCTCGAGGACGGCGTCGTCGTCGAGCAAGGCTCGATCACGACCGTCCTCTCGGACGACGGACCGATCCACGACCTGCTGCAGGCGCACGCGCCACTGGAGGATGCAACAACGAGATTGGAAGCCGCGCCAACAGGACAAGATTTCGTGTCGCCCGACCCAACGCCACTGCTACCGACGCTCACGGACGCTGTCGCGAGTCTCACAAAACACTCGGGCGTCTACAAGCGGTACGTGCAAGCGTGTGGCGGCTATGGCCTCGCGGCCACAACTCTAGTTTGGTATCTGAGCGCCCAAGCCACCACAGTCCTTGCTACCCTGTACCTCGGCTTTGACGACTCGCTCCTCGGTCTCTACGTCTTTGCAACGGGGCATGCGCTGTACATTGGGCTGCTTTACATGCGGTCGGCCATCTCGTACCGTCGAGGGCGCGTCGGCAGCCAGCGCCTCTTCCACACTGCGCTGTGGCGCCTTCTCCGCGCGCCGCTGAGCTTTTTCGAGACATCGCCGGTCTCGGCACTCATCTCAACGCTGGCGTCCGACATGGCAATCGTCGACCTCGAGGTTCCGTCGACCATGCACATGCTGCTGCACACGCTTTTGTTTATCGCAACGAGCATTGGTCTGGTGGTGCTCGTGGCGCCGTGGTTCGCACTGGCCGTGCTTCCAGCAATGGCGTCGCTCTATGCACTGCAGCGAGCGTACGTCCCTTCGGCCAACGGTCTCCAGCGACTCGAAGCTGCGACGCGCGAGGCCATGACGGCGTACGTCCGCGAGTGTCTTCTCGGTCTCCGGTCGCTCCACGCCTACCGCATCGAGAGCCACTGCAGCGCCAACTACTACGCGCTCCTCGACGCACATCAGCGCGTGCACATGGTGGTGACGGCGACCAACCACTGGCTCGCGGTCCGGGTCGAGTGGCTTGGCGCGACGCTGAGTGCGCTGGCCGCCGCTCTTGTCGTCTATTCGAAAGCATCCGATATGGCTCCCTTGCCGCTGGTGGCGATGGCGCTCTACTACGCCCTGCAGCTGCCACCGACGCTGCATTGGGCTCTGCGCGTTCTGGCTCAAGTCCAAGCCTCCCACGCTTCGCTGCAGCGGCTTGAGAGTTGCGACAACCTCCCGATGGAAGCGCCGCTGACAAGCGACCTCTTGCCTCGTATTCTCGAGAACGAGAAGCGCGGTCGGCTGACGTTTGAAAACGTTCAAGTGCGCTACCAGCCCCATCAGGCGCCGGCACTCACACACCTCTCGTTTGACGTCGCCGCCCACGAGAAGATTAGCGTGGTGGGCGCATCGGGGTCGGGCAAAAGCAGCCTCGTGATCGCACTTCTGCGTCTACTTGAGCTCGACGCCGGCGTCATTCGCGTCGATGGCGTCGACATCGCATCGATGGGGCTCCACGACGCCCGCCGCCAAGTCGCGTACATTCCCCAAGACCCAATCCTCTTTTCAGGTATCGCAATTTTGTCGATTTCTCGGATACAATGATACATTGATACTAGGTTCCGTGCGGAGCAACTTGGATCCGTTTGGCGTCTTTGGCGACGACCGGCTCTGGGCGGCGCTGCGCCGTGCGCAGCTCGTGAGCATGGTTGGGTCTCTGGACGAACCCGTGACGGAGCGCGGCCGCAACTTTACGGTTATCGAGCGACAGCTGCTCTGCTGCGCGCGCATTTGGCTCAAAAACGCTGCGATCGTGTGTCTGGACGAGCCCGCGGCTGCGTCCTGGGCGACACCGAAAGACTATGCTCTCCAAGAGGTACGTCCGTTGTGTCGCGAGATACCGATGAAGATCTTGGGACAGGCGGTGCGGGCCGAGTGCGCCGATCGCACAGTGCTCACAGTGACCCATCGGCTCAACACGATCTTGACGTCGGACCGCGTCCTCGTCTTGGAGCACGGACGAATGGCAGCGTTGGGGACACCCGCCGAAGTGCTGGCGGCGCCGTGTGCGACCATGGCAACGCTCCTCGAGCAGTGGCGCGCGGCGCAGCCGATGACATAGTGTGCATACTGTCGATAGTATTCCATTATCATTCATCTACCTACTAACATGTAAAAATCGATCTCACATTCTCTGTAAAAAGTCGGAATCGCATACGTCATCTACAATTGAGGGCGGATTCAGGATCCGACTTTCTCCCTTCCAACAATTTTAAATATCATAC